TTCCGACGCCCCGCCCCCTTCCCGCCCGCCCCTCAGGCCCCGCCTCCGGGCCGCTGCGTCTCTTCCCTCTGCGCAGTTTCCCGCAGACCCGGAAGCGGATCGAGCGGAGAAAACATCGAACCGCGGAGTGTCGGTGTCCGTCTGTCTAGATTAATCTGCGCTTCGCCGTCTTCCAGACTCGGTGCCCGGGGGTGGCTACGGACCTTAAAATCTCCGCTCCGCCCCAGGTAAATACAGACCTCGCGCCGCGGGTCCGGAAACTGCTTCCCTTTGGGTTAAAATCTCTTGAGGCTGGTCCGCCCCCGATCTTTCTGGCTTCGGGCCAGATAAACACCGATTTCCGCGGTTTTTAAACCTTTAAGCAGGGGTTTCCTGCCCAAAACCCTTCACCGAACTCCGCACCGCGCCACGTTAAGGCCCCAGCCGCGAGGTACATCCACGCCCTTCGCGCCACCGGTACCACCCTGGTCGCCCCGGGAGGGAGGGCAGCGCGGCAGCCTCAGTCCGGGAGAGGCCGCGTCCTTCCTCTGCCCGGTCCTGGCATTCTGCAGACCCCGCTCTCTCCCAAAGCACCATCGCCCATCACTCCTCCTCCTCCTCCTCCTGCCTGATCCTGCTCCCCAGGCCTCCCCATTCACAGTCACCCCTTCCCCTCACCCACGGTGCGGGAGGTGACGGGGCCTGTCTTGTGACACCGCTCAGTGTTCTCACGTCCCTAATTCTACCCGACTGGAAAATGCTGCGCATCTTATTCCGTCCCCTTCACTGTGAATGTTTGAGCAAAGGGGATCAGGAGAAAGACAGCAACTGAGAGCAAACAGAAAGACTGAGGGGAAACAGTAAAAAAGAAGGGGTGAGAACTCTAAAAAGATGTCGAAGTAGAGAATGTGGAAGAGATTTACAAAGAGACAGTAGAAGTGAAAGAAGAAGCCGGGAAAGTAGTGGGGGGTGGGGGGAAGTAACTGGAGAAATGTAGAGAAAAGCCCGATGTCCTGAGAGAGGAAGGACAGCAAAATAGGCTGAGGGGCAGCAAAGGGGAGGCACCTCAGACGGAGAGTCGGGGGAGAGGACAGTGATTTGGAGCCAGGGCAGACAGAGCAGCGTGCTGCTGGGACACCAGGAGGGGGCACCGCAGCAGGGAGGAAGCCTGGGGACCTGGAGGTGCCAGAGAGTGGGGACAGGGGGGTGTAACAGGGAAGAGGGAATCTAACAAGGAGAGCAGAGGGAGAAAAAGAAAGAGGCAGAAATATATAAGACTGCGGACAATCTGAAGATTGGACCAAAACAGCAAAGCAGGTGAAACAAGTTGCAAGAAAGGAGCAGAATAGGTACGAGAAAAAAAAAACAGAAGTGGAGAAACAGCAGGAGAGGAGAGGGGCACAAAATCAGCAGAATCCCAGGGGGAAAATGAAAGGAATAAAAAGAGAAGGTGAGAATGAGAAGTATGTACGGAGCAAGGGAGGGAAGCAC